TTGGCTTTTGGTGTAAAGTTACAGCCTGTGAGTGCTAGGGTCCTGTTATGACACTGTAGCCGGATTTCCCTCTACCGGGGCTGCTCTGGTCATTTAGATTCAAGGGTTGGTTACAAATTATTGTGCATTAGGGTAATAAGAAATTATTTTTCAAAACACTGGCAGCCAAGGACACTTTGTGCCCGCCAACGATGCCTCCCTTTCTTCCCAAGCCAAATTATGTTAAATTATGCCATTTTGTATACTTTGGGAAAAATATATATGGGTTTTAGTCATCTAAACCTAATGGGTTACATTTATTTATCATCATTTAAAAAGTTGGTACATATTATTATTAATTAAGAAAAAGGGGGAATTTGGGTAAAGGTTTTATGTCAACTATAATAATAATAAGGGCTGTATAAAATTTTCCTGTCAGGGGCAGGAAATGTTATGCCAACACTGTGGTTCCTGTTGAGGAGTGAGATAGAGAAGTCAGACTGAAAAAAAAAATAAATAAAGGGATGATGTATAAATGTGATGGCTATGTGCAGACGTGGTATGATCAGTCTGATGCAAGACCAAATGTGGTAAAACAGTAGATGTAGGTCAAATGGGGGTGCAAATTTGGATGTCCACAGAAAACACCAAAGCAGCACAGAAGAGCATTGGAAAGAGCTTAAGGTGTTGAGAACACCACTCTACTTCTCTGGGCAATGAAAGGTAAAACAGAAAAATTGTAAGGAGATAAAAAATTTATAAAGTTATTAAAAAAACATAAAAGGAGAGCTGGTAAGCCAACATAAACAATAAACGGAACAAGCAGTTAAGAGGGTGTAGAGAGGCTCAGGGAAAGGTACACTCAGGATTTAGAGAAAAATAAGAAGATAAGGCATTCACTTCAGCTATGCACCCCTGAGTGAGAGTCACTGATAAGAGGGGAAAAGAAAGAGACAAAGAGAAAAAGAGAGGTTTGTCTAAGATGGGGATGTCTGAGGGAATCAGAGAAAGAGCATAAGGTAATAAAAATTTAGAGAGGGTCAAAGAAAGTCCTAAAAATGTCAGAGAAGAATGTAAACTGTTTACTATGGGCTCTCATATCTACAAATACTAAATTTATAATGGTAATATGGGTTAAAAATTTTGACCATACCAGGTTAATTCCATTTAAAAGTTTTGTTTATGTCCCAAAAGAAAATTATGTATACTTGTTAAAAAGTTCTATCTGTGTTTTCTGGTATGAACGTAAATTTTATTACAAGCATAAAGCTAAACCAAAAATGGTTTAAATATTTTTTCTGTCTAATGCTAACAGCAGCCAGTCATTTATGGACATAGCTCAGAATTTATCTCTGAGCTCTAGTCATTAAATTTGGGTTATTGGGAATTCAGATGTCTTTTTAGTAAAGATGGCATTAAAACTGTTTTATAGTTAAATCTGTCAAAAATTAAAACTAGTTAAAAAGTTAAAACTAGTAACACTGGGAATTGACAACATAAATTTAATAGTCACCCAGGTGATAATGGTTTTAAACACATCAAGGGTGCTTTATTTTTGATATTATTACAAAAAGACATTAAAAGATTTTTATTTGTTCAAATTTATAAGGTTATAGGATATTTATGCTTATGTTATATTGCTAATGTTTGTGCTTAAATCAAAGAGCTGAAATTTAAGATCACAGCCATAAGCTCCATATGCTAACAAAAAAATTGAGCTGTTTATTTCTTATGGTACAGTAAGACAATGACCTAAGTTTAACAAAGAGCTTAAAAAAACTTCTAAGCCCATGGGTCTCAGTTCTTTGGAGGTTTAAAAACAAAATTCTTTTATAAGGGTAGCCTAGGACCACCTGTATGTCAGATGTTTACATTGATAACAACAGAAAAATTTTGTAATAGGAATTAAAACATCAAAATTTTAAAGGTAAACCTGACAATAGAAAGTCTTAGTTTTATAAAAGCTGCTAACCTGTTGTAAGATGTTAAGAAATACAAGTTACTAGCCATTCTTATGAATAAACAAGTTCATTGGTTATGGTCAAGCTAAGTACTAATGATTAATAACAGAGATAAACCTGACTCAGTCCCTGGTATATGTTTTCAAAGGTTAAGATTAATACAAGTAACTGAAAACAAGTTGCTAGATTTACCTAGGCAGACTTGTAATACTACAGAGGTCTGCAGAATATGGCATTTAAAATGTTAGCTAAAAAGCTTATAATATCAGACAAAGAATTTCAGATCCTGACAGTGACCCAAGATCTCTAAAGAAGATTATGGGGCTCCATGGATTGTGACAATGCTGACCAGTGAGCATGATGCTCAGATGCTACACCTGCTGCCAGGCAGAACCGGGTTCAGACTGTGGACAGGCTACAGGACACTGGAGAATTGATTGCACCATCTTTGCCTAGACAAAATAAGGTCAGTCTTTTCCATGTCCCTCTTCCACAGAGAGAAAAAAAACCTCTCACTTTATGGACCTGGTGAAGATTTACTTCTGCCCCCAACACTATTGAGACTTGGGTATGGCTAACTATATCTGGATTGGACCCTTTCATTTTTTAATAGATTCAAACGTTACACAGATTTATCCTTCTCAGATCTCTGATAGTATTGATGACGAGACTAGCTATAACTTTGTCAGCTTGGCAATATCAGTCAACCTTGATCCCATCTCCCTGTCACACCATCTCTTATTTCAGACTTTAACCTCTGTGTATCAGCTACTGAAAAATGCTTTGTCTGACTGCTTTGGAGAATGTTGGTTGTGTGTCCTTCTAGGGTCAAAGTCACTATCACCTTGCCCATTGTCCTATTAGACTCTCTTTCCTTGAAACACATTAATTGCTCTAAGCCAAGTATCACATGACCCCTTATCTCTCTCACATCTCTCTCTTTGGTATCACAGACTGCTTTAACTCCTTAGGACACATTTTGTGGGCACACTGTTTTCCATAGATTGCAGTAATACCTTAACCCTTAGGACTACCACCCAGTCCCTATGCTCAAACATTCACAATGCTTTGATTCTCTGTGGCACTCCAGTTTACCCCACCTGGTGGTCAGGGACTTGTGTGCCCTGGTGTTCCTTTTTCCAAAAGTAGGGGAGGTACCTGGTGAAGAATCCTTGCCAATTCTCATTACAGGGTTTATAGTGACATGGCATGGCAAATGAAGTGGTTCAGGCCATACCCTTTCTAGCACTCTTGGTTATAATTGGAGCATCACTAATGGATCAGTGGGACTGACTGCTTCCCTAGCTATTTATCATCAGTTTTCTTCTAAGTTTATACAGGATCTTCAACAGGTGGCTCAAACCATCCTTACCCTCCAGGGTCAAATAGACTCACTGGCCTCCATAGTGTTAGAAAATCAGTGAGGATTAGATTGACTAACAGCAGAGAAAGGTGGTCTTTGTCTCTTCTTCAGGGAGGAATGTTGCTTTTATGGCAACCAATCAGGTATAGTAAAAAACAAGCTCTGACAGTTTCAGATGGCTCTCCAAAAACAAAGAAACAGCTTGATGTCTCTGGCCTACAGTAGCTTATTGACAGTCCAGTATGGAACCAGATATTATCCTTCTTAACCCCCTTTCTCCTGTTTTTCTTAATCCTACTAGTCTCACCCTGTCTTATAAACTTCATGTTTAGATTTCTTCAGCAACAGATCCAAATGATTTCTAAACAGACTTTTAATCATTTGCTATAACAGGATCACCAGCCCCTAGATCCTGAGCTAGAGGCCCATAATCATTCTATTCCCCACTATACCCCCCCCACTGAAAAGATTGACCTTGCCCCCAGGACTTCAATGCTCCCATTCAACAAGAAATAGTCTAATGATAACATCACCCCCTGTTCTCTTTCTTAACCCCTGACTGTTTATCAATAGTAAACAAAAATGGGGAGAATGTAAGCCCTGGGAGGCAAGAATAGCTAGGTCCCATCCCCTAGACTTCTCTAAAGGCCATCTTAACATTTGAGGTAGCAGAGTGGCCAGGCCCCACACTACAGAACAACAACAAAAAAGCCCAAGATTAAGCCACAAAATCCCTTGAATCCCAGCTCTGCCCCCCAAGACACCCTGTATAAAGCCTGCCTCCTTCTCTGTTCATTGCTGCTTCTTGACTGAGCAGAAGCAGCTATCCTCTTGTTTCTCTCCCAATAAATCTCTTGTGTGAGGTTTGTTATGAGTCGTGAAATAGTGGTATTCCTTGTCTCCCGATTGCCAGGATACCTTTCCCTTCAGGTTTCCCTCTCAGAGCTGTAATACCTCAGTGGGGAAGCCTTTCCTTTCAAAAGCTCTAACAGTTACAGGTAGTTATGAAAAGAGCCAGTCTGATCCCACCCACCCTCCTCTGCTCCTGGATTGATAAGTTGTGGCACACCTCAATGAGAGCTTCCACTATTATTGTCTTCCATTTGCTGAAATGTCTTCCTTAGACTGAGCACCATATACATGGCCATGCTTTTGAATCTCCAAATTGTGAGCTAAATAGATTTCTCTTCCTCATAACTAGACTGTATTGAAAGACCCCCACCAGGTGGGACTCTGGGGTGAACACTCGGAGTGGCAAGTCACCAGGCAGAGGCAAGAACTTGATGCAAACAGCAAGAGGCTTTGTTATTCAGTAACCAGTGCTTCGGGGTCCAGCACGTTACTCACACAGGAGAAGAGGAGCTGGACCCCAAGCTGAGGGCTAGGGGCTTCTTAAAGGCAAAAACTGCAAACGGATGGGGTCTGGGGTGAGCTAGGGCAACAGTTCTGATTGGCTCCTTTCAGGTGGCAGACTGCAATGTGCAAGAAAACATCTTAGGCTGGGGTCCTTTAGTTGAAGGTCACAAATTACAGAGTTTCTATGGTTTCTTAAGGTCATACAAAGTACAGAGTTAGTCAGTAACTATACATTTTAAGGGAGATACATTTGACTGAGATAAGACAGGGCATGGGGTTGGGGGGGGGGATACAGGGTCTGTCAATTATCCCCTGGGCTGGGGAATCTTTACAACCAGCAGGGCACCTTTACAACCAGCAATAGCAAAGGAATGTTAACTGGAATTGTGGGCAGTCACCTCTGCTTCTCTGAGAGCAGGAGATCAGGCATCATCAGTCATAGCACTCCTGATTTAAGGAGTTAAATTTTCCTTTATAAACTTCTATTAATTTGAATTTTTGGTCCTTTAGTATCTTGTATTTTGTTACAACAATGAACAGCTGACTAAAGCATGTAGTGTCTTCTTTGCAAAGCCCTTGAGATAAAAGACAGTGTCATTTACAATATTTACCCAACTCCTGCCATGAAAAGAGCATTTAACATATAAAATAAACAGTGAACACAGATACTAAGTAAATACGTGATTACAGGTCACATTTCTAGATGCTTGTTCTTCCACCCCACAAACCCTCACATATATACACATATGTGTACACTAAGGCTGGCTCATAAACATCCACGCCACAAATTTATAAATGCCTTGGGAAGACCTGTTGGTTAAAATCCCTATTAAATTTCTGTTTATTTAATCAACTATGATTTAGCAAATTGAATCAAATCACAAGATTCAAGGTGCAAGCAACTGGTAAGTGATTTCCTCATTTGTAAGGGAAGGAAGATACTGGGTTGTGAAAGCCCAGAAGGAGGAGGACTTCTTTGGGTTTCAGCGAGAGGTGCTTCTAGAATCCTTAGATTTGCTTAATTACAGAGTGGATTTTTCTTAATTTTTCTTTGCATGGCGTCCATGTGTCTTCTGGGCTCTATTTGAGTCAGAGGCAAGACCTGTTTCACTGGAAAACAGAGACACAAGAAGGAACATTGAGTGACAGGAGGATGGTCATGTTCAGAGGGATTAGACATTGTGTGATTCTACCTGCTTCTTTACAGGTATGAGAAACAGAAAGACCCCCCTTTAAACTACACTCACCCATGTTTAGTTCCAGTCCTGAAAATAAAAGACCAAAGACTACTTAGGATGAGAGGTATAACTCCGAGTATAATTTGCTTCCCAAGCAGTCTTGCGATCTGGAATCAAAGGAAACAGAGAAGACATGAAAACAAGTTTGGATGCCAACTAATTTGATTTTGAACCTGTCTCTATGACTTTGGGAAGTCCTCCATTATCTCTCTTTCGCACTGGGGAAGATGTCTGACTGAGTCTTTAAGAGGATCCAGTGTGGGTGGGAAAAAAATTTTTTTTTTTAAATTTTACCTCTGACTATTAGTCATTTGGTCAGGTAGAGAAGTGAGGTCTAGAATCATTGAGACAGTGAAAATGCTGTGCGTAGGAAGTGAACAGCGTTTATACAAGAACACAGAGAAAGCCTGGAGAGATGACTCAGGGGTTAAGAGCACCACTGGCTGCTCTTCCAGAGGTCCTGAGTCCAGTTCCCAACAACCAATGGTGGCTCACAACCATCTAGAATGAGATCTAGTGCCCTCTTCTGGCATGCAGGCATACATGCAGGCAGAACACTGTATATGTAATAAATAAATAAATCTTAAAAAAAAAAAAAGAAAACAGAGCCAGGCGTTGGGGGGGCAAGCCTTTAGTCCCAGCACTCGGGAGGCAGAGGCAGGTGGATCTCTGTGAGTTCGAGGCCAGCCTGGTCTCCAGAGCGAGTGCCAGGATAGGCTCCAAAGCTACACAGAGAAACCCTGTCTCAAAAAACCAAAAATAAATAAATAAATAAAAGAACATAGAGAAAAGTGAGACAGAGGAGAAAGGAGGCATGAGCATCATGAGGGAAAAGGAGGCCTGCAGAAAAAGCCTCCTGAGGGAGGGGAGACTTCCAACTGCTAAGGTACCACATCTTCAGTTTTCTGATGTAAACCTCTACTGTTTCTATGAACCTTCAGATAAAGCCAGGTCCTGAGACAATCTGCTTACTTGGGACAGTAACATTTTGAGGGGGTTAGTTTGAGGGAGTGAGGCTGTCAGGGCCCATAAAAATGACTCCATTTCATTTTGACTTAAGATCAGAGAGTTCAAAACCATCCTTACTCTTCCAAGGTTAAAGTCAGAAGACCTAAAGGTCTAAGGTGTGGCCACTGAAGGATGTTTGGTCTAAGGTGTGGATGTCTTAACCATCAAATCCAGATAATGAGAGATTTGATCTAAGGTATGATTACTGACTGTTCGGAGAGTTAAAGAAAGAGTTAAAGTCTGTTTGTTCCTTGTATCATGGTAAAGACGTCTTTTGCCTTTTGGCTTGGGTATATTAGAAAATGAGAAATAAACTTGAGGTGGTCAGTATTCACTCTATTGCCCTCTGGCTCTATTCTGTGTCTGTCTTTTCTTTAGTATCTTTACCTGCCGTTTCTCAATCCACACTCCCCCTCTTAGGTATGAACCCAGCAAGTCTGCTGGACCTGACTGAAGCCCCCCAAAGATGGGTTCCTACATGAGGCTTCCCTTTGGCTGGTGAAAAATATCCAATGAAGTGATTCCTAAGTTGAACTAACTCAGCAGAGGAGGAAACCAGAGGGATGTAAGCCTGATACTAGGCAGGTATTAAGCCAATGGAAGTGCTCCTTGAAGCCACAGGAACCACTGTCAGCTTCTTCAGAGACAAATGACATGACCAGTCATCAGCAATGCCATGCTAGAAAGGGAGCTAGAAGAAAAATAAGAGAGAGCAGATTTCAAGAGCAATAATGAAATATCTTTAAGCTGTTTGTGAGGCATATTCAAGCACTGGACTTCCATTGCTAAAAAATGGACCTGAACTGGATCTCGGTAAGTGCTAAGGATCTGAAGGCTGCTTGTTACAAACTCAAGGTAAAGATGAACTAATGGCAGAGTTAACAAAGGTATAAAGTAGATTGATAGTAATCGATGCTGTTCAGTTATGTCCTCCTGGCCGAAAGCTAACAAAAGTGAAAGGTAAATCGATTGCAATGAGTAACAATTATTCTGTCTTAAACAGAATTCTGAGTTCTAGGCTACACAATGAAACTTTTAGCTGACTACAAGTTCAAGACAAAGCAAAACAGTAAGATTATTTATTTCCTCTTTGGTTGGCCTGAAAAACTGGACTGTCACTTATGTGCCCAAGGCTCAAGCCTGGAAGGAGAGAAGATGTTCCAAAGAGAGACACTATTTAAATATAAATCTCATGTACAACTGAAAGATGAACTTGGTGGTGGTGGCAGCTTCTGCATCTTTTTATTTGTTCTTCTTAGTGTAGCCATGTTGAACAAATCTTTCTCTACATTTCACAATTGTCACTTTAATTGAAATCTTGAAGACAGTAGTCCAGATTAATTTGTCAGGACTACCTGGCCCAGGCTTGTACACTAAAACTAGGTCAATGTCACCCAAGAAGAGGTCAAATCTGCACATCAATGTAAAATGTAAATACCAAAGGCCCCAGGCTCCTGCCTCTATTTTCCAGGAGTGTCTGTTATGTACTTTATTAGGTGTATCTTGTTCCTTTCTCCTTTGTTCCATGCCCTTTGTCTCAGCAGCTACCAAGATCTTCAGCTTGCCTTCTTGTCTTGTTTTCTTTTCTTTCTAAAGTCAGTAAATTTCTCTCAAGTCTCCAGTGCTCTCATTTGAGTATGTTTTAAAATTGTGTGTGTGTTCTTATGTGTGTGGAGAGGATTGGCATATGTGGTGGGTGAGTGTGTGGAGGGCAAGCTTTAGGAAAGGTTGGAAGTGGCGACAGAAGAGGAATGGGGATGAGGGAGAGACTATGGTTGGCTGTGCAGGTGGAAGGATGGCAATTACAGGAGACATAAAGAGTTAAGTGACAGGCACAACTTCCAGAGCAAGACCCAGATCCCTTTGAGCCATCAGTGTCGCTCCCTTCCTATACCCCAGACCATAATCAAGCTCTGTGGACACCTGGAAACATCCACTCTGCAAAGAAATCATTGTCTCCCATGGTAATCTCACTTCTGCACATTAGCTGAATTTTCATACAACTTTTGAAATTAGATGCATGCATTCACTCTTCCTAAGACCAGCAAACTGAACTGAATCTGTCCCAAGGGTAGCCACCTGATTGAGACTTCCCCATTTAAATCAAGACACTTACAGAAGGCATCTTGAAGTTGGCACTCGCCGGTCTCCTGCTTGGCTCTTTTATGTCCTTAAAAGTTCAGGACAAACAAAGCAAAATTTTTAAGAAGTTTAGCTGAGCAGAAATCAGTTCCTGAATTATACACCACCAAACTAAAAGAGGTAGAAAGTGATAGTGGTAACCCAGCCAAGTCTTTATACAGTGTACATGAAGTGAAAATGAAAGAACCTGCCTGGTTGCACAATCGGAAAACTATTGCCAAATTTCTTGTTGGCTCTGGCTATTAGTTTTGTTCTTCTCTAAAAGAAGCATTTAGAGGAAATGACTGCAGTACAGTTTTATCTTTTCCTATTTACATAAAAGAAAATCTACTTGCCTCATTGGTTTTTGTTTACTTGTGATATTTTTAGTCTCTCCTGAGTGGACTCAGTGGGTAAAAGTGCTCCCAGCTAGGCCTTCCAACTTGAATTTGGTCCCTGGGCTCTGCATGGCAGAAGGAGATAACTGACTTTCAAAAATGGTCTTTTGATATTCATGCAAATGCCATGGCAAATACTCCACTATGCATACAAAGTAAATAAGGTGTACATGTGCACACATGTGTACACACACAGAGAGAAAATACATGAATAAATGTTTATTTTTTGAAATAATCTATCTATCATCTATCTATCATCCATCTATCTATCTATCATCTATCTATCTGTCTATCTTGTGTACAAACCCTGACTGTATGTCTGTGCACCTTGTGAATGCAGTATTCTTGGAGGCTAGAAGAGGACATTGGCTCCTTATAAGCCTGGAGTTACAGGTTGTTGTGAGCTGCCATGTGGATTCTGGGAAGCAAACCGAGGTTCTGTGGAAGAGCAGCCAGTGCTCTCCAGCCCCAGCTTCTGCTTTTGAAGCAAAAGTAGAAGCTTTGACTCAGAAGACTAAATCTACAACTATGACAAAAATAAAAATTTTAGATCTCTTATAAATTTATTGAATAGTGCTAGTTACTACAGTTGTTCTGATGTACAGGCAAATACACAATAACAAAATAACCATTTAGTCAAGGCCAATAGATATAAGACCAGCGTTCCAAATGGTAAGGTTGTCCAAATGGCAGGTTAAGTAGGCAAAAGCCTGAAATATAAGCAACAGAAAACAAATGTATATATCTGTATATATTTTAGTCAAACAGCTTAGTCTTGGTATAAAACTGGCAAAGACAAAATTCTCCACTTAAGTACAGAGATGGAATGGTGTTATTAAGTCAAATATTTAAGTTAAAATGTCAGAAGATGACAGGCAGCAATTTATGGGTTCAGACAGTCTTGTATTTTCCCTAGGACTCCAACAGACAAATACTTAAGTACACGTAAGTTCTTAATAACCATCAAATGCACTCACCAGACATTTGAAGAGTCAAGCAACTGAATAACTGCCTTTCCTAGTGTCCTTATGACTTTCCATTTCTTGTATATTAGTTAGATGTTATAATACCAAAATGTGTAACAGGGTTTACAAGAATATGTATTATGTATCAGCAATTATACCAACAGAAAATGAAATCATTTCAATGATGATAGGATATATATTTACATATGGATCAAGGATAAGAAATCATGGAAAATTTACAAAATATACATTATTACAGGGACTTTTTCTTGTCTTCCCACTTCTTCCTGCACCAGTTGCTTTTTACCTCTAGTTGGTGAAGTAGAGAAATGAGTATTTGAACTCTCTTATTGATTCTCAGGAGTATGTACACGTTAACCTTTTAGGTTTGCCTAGCCAAAGGTTGGTTTAGTGCTCACATTTCGGTGGATCAGGATGCAGATGGTGTGTGCTGGCACTTTGCTAGTTGTCTTTTTCTTCTTTAATTCCATCTAGGTCCCCCATGGGATGACTCTATCCAGATTTTTGTTTTTGTTTTTGTTTTTGTTGTGTTTTTTCGAGACAGAGTTTCTCTGTGTAGCTTTGGAGCCTATCCTGACACTTGCTCTGTAGACCAAGCTGACCTCAAACTCACAGAGATCCGCCTGTCTCTGCCTCCCGAGTGCTGGGATTAAAGGCACATGTCACCAACGCCCGGCGATCCTATCCAGATTTAAGCTATATTTTCTTCCTCACTTAAATCCTTTCTGGAAATGTCACCAACACCCGGCGATTCTATCCAGATTTAAGCTATATTTTCTTCCTCACTTAAATCCTTTCTGGAAACTCTCATACACTCTCCTGGAGGAATACCTAACCATCTCCTAGCTGATTCTAAATACTATCAAGCTTCATGTTCCCTTATTCTTCTTCTACTCTCTTCCTTTCCGTGAAGGCTGGCCAGCATTTTCATTAAGGTAAGGAGCGGGTGTATTGAACATGGGTGCTGCTAGTTCCTACTCTCTTATGGGGGACCAACTGGCCCAATTGTCTACAAAGCAAGGCACTGGTATCAAACATAAGAGCAAAAAGCTTCTTTAAAACTGTACATGAGGTTTTCCAGTTTCGGGTAAGGGTCAGATGCTTGGAGGCATCTGACACCAAGGATTTGCTTGCTGGATCCAAGATCAGCAGCGGGATCCGACACACCAGGACACTGCCGAAGCCCCTGTGGGAGTTCTGCCTCCATCCATGACAAGAGGACAGACATCAGAGTATTGGAACTGTTTGCATCTACCAGAAGGGAACCTTGGTTCCATACCCACCAGGAGAGGAAGAGACTCATACTATACCCACCAGAGGAAAGGATGAGAAGAGGTCAATGTAAAAGCACATTCAACAACAGAAAAC